TTTTATCTCCTGCTAACCCATACATCTGTTACCCTCTCTCCATCTCAAGTGAGCTCACACATGGCAGGAAGGTGCTGTTCCTCCAGCACCCCTGCTTGGGGCTGATCACCTTCCAGTGGTATGGACTTAGGAGCAGTTTTGATAACACAGGGCTGAGCCCCACACCTCCTTTGGTAAAAGAAGGAGCTCAGCCTGCAGCAGCCACATGTGCAGTCCATTCACACCAGGCTGAGCTTCATCTGCCCAACCTCCTCCACACCCATGGCTGCACAGTCCCCACAAATGCCGGGGAAGACAAGAACAGATGATTTCCCTGCCAGCTTCATGCCTAGGTCTGTAAGGAACAGCACTCCTCTGACCAAGATCTGCACCTTGCATCCTCTTGTATCCCTGGGAAGCCAAAGCACAGGCCATGCTGCACGTGGACCATGCCCATGTGGGCTCCACAGCACCATGGATGGGCCATGAAGCAGGGCTGGGTACAGCACACATGGGTGAAGGGATACTGGTGATGCTTGGTGTGGATGAAGAGGGGAAGCAAAAGGAAGAGAGCAAATCCCCTTGACTGCTGCTCTTTTGCATGGAACACCCAGATCTAACTCCCCTCCTCACACCTCGGGACATCAGACTCCTGTTACCTTGTCGGCTGGTGTTAGCTTTGTCCATGGCTTGTCTGCTCGCCGGTCATAGTCTTGAGCATCTGTTACTTCCACATATTCATTAAACCTCAGGATCTTCCTGGCCTGCAGCTCTGCCACTGTAGGCCTTTGGCTAAGCTGAACACCAGCAAGAGCAAAGAACAAAGAAAGTGAGTTTGTGCCTTGTCCACAAAGCAGTTCAGGACTCTGCATTCCCAGCAAAACTAAACCCAGTTTCCTCTCTGGGCCCGAAGCACAGCACTGCTAGGTCCTGCTCACAGCCTGCAAGGGAACAAACAAACCCTCCTACAAGTGTCATCTCGCTTGGATCATAAGGGCAGAACCAAGGCCACATTGCTAAGGAGAAAGATGACACCAGGGGCTTTGGGAACAGGGTGAGAGCCCTGTATGCCACCCATTCCCCACTTCAGCAATGGCAACACTCACATTTCACACCCACAAGCCCTTGGAAAGTTCTCAGCCACAAAGAACAGCCCCAAGTAACTCGGGTGCTAAAAGCAGCTCTTGCTCTGCTCAGCTTCTCCCACTCTGCTGTTACTTTATAGAAATGGACTTTGAGGAAGCTGGTGTGAGTCTTGGCCACTGAAGTGCTGTGTTAGAATAGCCAGGACCCCAGCAAACCCTTCCAGTGCCTGGTACCCAGTTTAGTTCTCATCTCACTTATCAGATCAACCCCTGACAACCGCACCTGCAGTGCCAATGGCTCACCATTGGTGACAGCTCCACATTGCAAAGCCACTGCAGTCTGAGGGCACTGGGGACACTTACACAAGAGCCCCGTGACTTCCCCCCCAGCAAGGCACCTACGCCATGCTCACGGCCACCACCAGCCCCGCCAGCTCTGCCAGATGGTGCTCACAGCACGGGCGCCAGCAGTACCTTTCTGGTGAGCCTGCGCTTGATCTCCCGCTTCTCAGCCTGACGGTCAGCTTCATTCTTCGCTGCCAAGGAGAAAAACGTGAACGATACATCTTCCCTGTAAGCATCAGAGGCTTTGAAAAGCACTTTCTGGACTTGGAACAAGGGGAACGTTGAGCTACATCGGATTAGCTCCATGCCCGAAAGCTCGCTGTAGTGTATCTGTGCTCAGTACAGGTAGAGAGTCCAGCTCAGCATCCCCTGACTGACAGTGGCAATATGGGTCCTTCCACATCAGAACTGAGTCATTCTCTCCAGCCCTATGTTAATGGCTGTACTGTCAAAATACAGCCAAGCTACACTGCAGACTGCTCCCCCCAAAGCTACTCTACTAATAACTGAAAGAGAATAACAGCACAGATAAATATTGTAAATGGAAACTTCCTGAACTGACATTTCCCCTTCCTCCAGATGTTTATTTAAAGCTTTTGCAGAGCAAGGTATGGCCAAGAGAAACACCACAGCCTGAGCAATGAACTGCTGCTTTTTGGACCCTGCAATATAATGCTGTAATGTCTGGACCACAAATTCAAGCACAGCCCAAACAAAAACACCTTTCACAATCCTGCTGTGTAACACCAAAGTCTTAACCAGTTCACAGGCTTTCCCCTGAGGTGTCAGGCACGGGACACAGAGACTTTCTAGAATGTGATGCTTTGAACTGTATTGCTCAATACGACTGCTAAGGTCTGAATTTAAGCTAGAACTGGTTTCTGATGGTATCAAAGCACTGGGGAACTGCTTTACTACAGCAACATAAAAGCACAATCCTCTATCACTGCCTTTCAAGCAGATTCCAGGTACACCTGGACTAAGATGTTAAAGGCAAACCTCTTCTATCCCTCAGGACCACTGGAGAAGTATTACTCACGTTGAAGTATGTTCCTCTGCTCCAGTTCCTCTGCTGTCGGTCTCTGACTTAGTCGCCTAAAGAGAAGCATAACAAGTGCATCATCAGTAGGGGATGAAGACCACAATTGCTTGGTTTTGGTGCACTGGAAAGCCTCTTTAGCCCCCTCATTCACCAGTGGAGATCACCGTTTCCCACTCACACCCACAGGTACAGGTTTGGGAAGTGCCTCTGGAAAGCTCAGAGGAGCAGGCAGCGCAGCCTGGACCATCAGCAGCCCCAGCTTAATCTACCACCTAACATCAGCACTCAGCTTGCACCTACCCACATCTTTCTACACCATCTTATTTTATGACAGCGATGCTTCTGTAGTCCTCGAGATTCTCCCCTCCAGTCCATCTAACCTCTGGAAAGTCAGGGGATATTCCTCAGCTCCAGAAGGAACTTCCAACTTCCATAACTGAGGAGGAAGAGCCTCCCAGCTCTGATCCAGCAGCAGTGCCCAACCACCAGTCACATTCCAGCACAGGCTGCTTGGATAAAGCAACAGCTTTGTCCACACCATGCCAACAGCTCAAACCAAACACCCTCCTCCATCCTTCATACCTGATCAGCGTTGTCCCAATCTGATGCCGGATTTCATTCCACTCTTCCTTGCTCTTCCGAGGGAAGACGATCTTCTCCTCGTATGCTGTGGTTGTGTTCCCCAGCTTTATAGCCAGCGTGTCTTTCCTCTTCACTTTGTTAGCCAGCGTGCCTGTGGGGAGGAAGAGCAATGGGATGGGACTGAAGCCTGCAGTGCCTGAGCACAGCAATAGCAGCCATGTGCCCTCTCCCCTGAAGCTGGACTTTCCATACTCTGCACTCCAGCCCCAGAGTTGGTCACTGCCAGCATTCCTGCCTGATGCCCACATGCTCACCTGAAGGGGTGGGACAGCACAAGCCATCTGCAGCTGGACAGGGTGCCTCACAGCAGATGGGCTGGTGATGCAGGTTTGGCTCTAAAGCCTTTGACAAAGTGAGGAAGGGGACATGTGGTACATCATGAAACCCAGAGCAGCTGCTTTGAAGCACTGTGAGAACCAGCTCTTTGATACCACATCTCAGTTCAGCAGACATGAGCTCAGCAGAGATAAAAAGGCAGCTGCAATGTCAAAGCCTTACTGTTATGGCTTTCATCTTCTTCCTCATCCTCATCATCTTTGTACAGGATGGGCCCCTCCGAGTCAGAGTCGCTCATCCCTTCGTCTCCTTCCTGCTCCTCTGGCAGAACCTGGGGTACCAGCTTGGGGATGACTGTGACACATGGCACCTCTCCAATATATACACGAGAACCCAAATTCTGCTCCTCTTCCTGGTCATCTTCTTCCTCTTCCTCATCGTCTGGACTAACGAGAAGCACACTATTACATCTCAACACACACCCAGAGATGCCACCCCAGGATCCTGCACCATTCCCTCTCTCTGAAGTGCAGGAAGAGGAAATGCAGAGGCAGGTCCTTTGGAGAACCAGACAGCCCCCTAACTCCCCGATCTTTGGGACTTGCAGGTTCAGCTCTGTTGTAACACAAGACAGTTCTTGTTCTGCAAAATAAAAGGTTAAGCAAGGCCACAAACGCATGGAATCCAGGCTCTTGTTTTGTCTCGGTGCAATTAAAGAGAGGCCAGGCCTGGATTCCTGGCATCAGCCTGCATTTGTGCTCTGGAACCCATTTCCCTTTGGGAACAATAAACTCCCAGAACAAGGGTTAATTCTATGGGGAAGATGCACTGCTCCCCAAGAGTCTGAAACACAGATTCCAACATGCAAAATGGGTTCTAGGCTGTTGCAAGAAACCAGAGAAGAAACCAGCCCTGCCCACAGCCCTCCTCACCATCACAGCCCCACAGAGCAGGGATGTGATGTGGATCACCACCAGCAGGACCCCCACGCAGGGTGATGTTTCCTGCCCGTACTCACACTTTCAGCATCTCGATGGTGACAGGCAGGGACCTCGTCCTGCCCAGGGTGCCATTGTCTTCTCCAAAGCCATCACTCTCAAAGAGCAGCGAGTGAGCCCTGTGTGAGCCCTCTGCAGGGGGGGTGACAGGCAGAGGGCTGGCCAGAGCCTGCTGGATCCGGATGTGCAGTGGGATTGGGGGCAGGCGAGGCAGCACGTGAGGGTCACCAAAGCCTTGCTCTGCCGTCCTCTTCACTGCTTCCAAGGACCTGAACTCTTCAGGAGGAGGAGGAAGAGGAGGAGGAGGAGTCTCTTTGGGCAGGTCCAGGGAGCGCGGAGGGTCCAGCACAGGGGTGGAGGCAGGCAAGGGCATACGTGGAGGTTCAGGGGGGATGTGTGTGGGCAGTGGTGGCGAAGGGGATGGTGGTGGGTAGGCAGAGGTGCCGTGCAGCGCTGTCAGTGCAGGGCGGTTCGTTGCCACTGTCCTGTCGCTCAGGGGCTTGGAGACCATAGCTGCCTCGGGCATGGTGGTGGCAGGCAGGAGGCCTCTCTTCGGTGGGAGAGGAGGGGAAGGCTTGGACAAGCTTGTACCACTGTTCATTGCTTGAGAAAGCTCAGCTGCAAAGAAAAACCATAAAAGCCACTATATTTAGTGGGCATTTCCCAGACATCCTTCACCAGTGTGGAATAAGCAGAGCAAAGCACTCAGAGCCTTGGACCATGCTGCTCCTCTGCTAGAACACAGTGCCAGAAACAACCAGGTTGCAAGCCTCTAGTTTGTCCTTCCTGCAGCAAAGGTAAGATGGGAGAGGAGCCAGAAACAAGCCAGCTGGGAGGGGTCTGTGCATCCTGGTGCTTTGGGAGGAGAAAAAGCACCAGCCCACAAGTGACAGCAGATGGAGCTCACCCAGACCAGCACTGCTGCTCAGCCAAGGAATGCAGGTATGTAGGGCACTTTATGGCTATATTTACAGCATCAGTTTGCAAAGGAATGCGAGACATCCAGGACACCCCAGCCTCCAGTCATGTTAACAGCTCCCTCGCACATGAAACACTTTTTCCTCAAAGGCCAAAGTCAGCAGGACTGCCAGCAGCAACGTGCTCTTCCCATTCCCATTCATCTGCCAGCCCCAGCCCAAGGACACCTTGCTGCCTGTTTCAGGGTGAGGTTTCTGCTCTACTCCCTCTGTACTCTGCTCCTTAAGCCCCAAAGAAATCTCTCTGCAACTGCAAACTTCCACATATACCCAAGAGAGTTTATCTGGTGTATGATGAAGGACAGAGGGAGAAATGGAGACTGAGGGGTATCATGGAAGCTGCCTGCAGCAGGCAATCTCAAACACCTCCTAGGGAAGTGACTCCGGTGAAGACTGCTCTTGCTTTAGGCGTTTATAACCTTCAACATTCCCCTGTCAGCAGCCTCTTGGGCTTGGAAAGGTTTTGCCCACCTGCTTGAAGAGGATTTCCTGCACGTTTCACCTGTGATGGTCACACAGTGCTGAGGCCCCAGCACAGCGCTGGGAGGACTCCGCAGTCTCAGACACCACAAGAGGGTGCTGCGAGCGAGCGGGGAGCGTGACCGAGATAAGGCTGCAGAGCTGCAGAGAGGTGGGTGCATTTTTGGGATGTTTGGCATTTTCAGACCTCCCCCTTGTAGATTAAGGGCAAGATTGTGCAAAACACCGAGTGCCCTCAGCTCTCATCCACTGCGGCCCAGAGGGACCCCAGTATCTCCTCAGCAGTACTTGAAGCCTGGCAGCACCAGGCTCGAGTCACCTTTGGGTAATCGCAGGGACCAAGCAGCTGGTGGAAGGAAGAGACAGAAAAGGGCTCAGAGCATCCTCCCAGCCAGCCTGTCTCCCTTTAGTGTGATAAACCCAGTGCACCAGCTGGTACCATGTCTTGAGACGTGCCACCACGGCCAGATCCAGCGCCTGGCACTAACAGTGCCTCCTGAAACCCTTCCATGGCACCAAGCACCAGGGCTGCCACCAAGTCCCCAGCCAGCACCACTTGCTCTGCTTGCTTTTCCAAGCTGATGCTGATTAAATTCCCACTTCCCCAAAGTGTTTCCTGAGCCGTATTTTCAGCTACTGCATCAGACACCAGAACTGCTCAGAGAATGAACATAAGGGAGCATCTTATCACTAGGGAACAAAGGGGCGATCTGCACATTGACAGTCCTCCCCTGCCTTAGGTTTTAATAGCAGCACTAAAGTACACACATGCCCAAGTGAGAGCACGCATCAAAGACCTGCAGAGAGCTCACGAAGCCAATTCCACTGCTGCTGGTTATCCACAGCAGCAAAAAGAAGGTTGCACAGCAACGACTGCACGTTTGCTGTAGTTACAGCTCCATCCTGCCCCTCTCTGCAGCCGCACTCTCCTGCAGGAGACAAAAGAGGGGCTGGCTGCTCTGCTCTCCTCCCCTGCAGCCAAAGGTGCACTGAGCCCAGCCCTGTATTGCTGGGGAGATGCAGAGGCTGGCTCTGAGCTTGACAGACTGCTGTCTCCAGCCTCGCTCTCTGTTCCACAGGTACCTCTGCAATGAGCAGCAGGGCATTTCAAATGCCAGCTGTGCTGCGTGCAGGCAGCTTAAAGAAAACAAGCAGGTATTTCATGGAGGACTCGGGCACGGTCAGACTGATCGAGCTGGTCTGGCATACAGGAGCGCTCAACTTGGGATCAAGGTCACTTGCAAAACCTGCTAGAGCAAGGAGAAGCTCCAAACAGAACAGACACACAGCTCCTACTGAAAGGCTACTTCAGATAGGAACTTGCACACAACCTACTACTGCCTCCCAAACCACACCTGGGAACGCCTCAGTTTCTGTGATAACAGTGCAGACCTGACTGACCTCTGTCCCAGTCCATACATCAGCAATCCAATCCAAAGACGACAAGGTGATCTGGGAAACATGAACTGGATGCAAGTTGTCTCATTTGCTTTCCATCTTTATACAAAGATAAAGGCATTTCATTCTTTAAGGGGTAAGATTCAGCTCAAATCACAGTTGAGCTGATTTACTCATAGGCCAGGACTTAAGGACAAGACTAACATGGCAATACCCTAACCACAGACCTTGGCAAAGGAGCCTGAGTATAAGCAAGGAAGTTGGAATTACCCCTGCCAGCTCCTGGCCTCCAAGTGGAAACCACATGGCCCAGCAGTGATCGCCATAACAGCCATGGTTTGGCATGAAGCGGAGTTTTTGGTGGCTTTGTTGGGTGTATTTTGCAAAGAGCAGCTGAAAGCATCAATTCTCACTGACCACAGGCTCACAAAGCAAAAACCCCATCCACCAATCCACATCATCCTAAAAGTCTTCCTTTACAAAGGGAAGAGACCCTCAAGCAAGTGCTGCAGAGGAGCTGTGGCTGCCCTATCCCTGGCAGTGTTCAAGGTCAGGTTGGACACAGGGGCTTGGAGCAAGCTGCTCCAGTGGAAGGGGTCCCTGCCCGTGGCAGGGGTTGGGACTGGGTGAGCTTTAAAGGTCCCTTCCCACCCAAACCAGGCTGGGGTTCAAGGATCCCAGGGCACAAACACCAGGTTACGGATGCACTCACCTATTACTGAGTTGCTGTTTCTGTTGAGAGGTTTGGGAGGGGGGACAGGCGGCTGTTTGGCAGGAGCTGTGCTGGTTGTGCTCGTGGGAGCAGTAGTGTTGGCACTGGCAAGAGCAGGGGGCAGAGTCCTGGGGGCTGGGGACGGGGCAGCACTGGAATTGACTGTCTTTGCTGCAGCAGGGGCTGTGGTGGAGGGGGCAGGCACTGGATCCTTTGCCTGTGCTTCATTTGCCTCTTGGGATGTGGAGGGAGGTCTTTTGGGAGGAAGCAGAGGCTGCCTGGGAACAAAGGGCTCCTGAGGTGGTTCCAGTTCAGGTCCAGAGTGGCTGCTGGAGGAACCTGCAGTGAGACAGATTGGCTTAAGAGACTGGAGAGCCCAGAGAGGGTGGGAAGAATCAAATGAGAGTTAAAATGGGTGTTGGGAGAATGTGAAGCAACTGATTTCACACACATCTGGTTTCTTACCCTGCCTTTTCTTTGGCTCCTCAGCTGGAACAGGCTTCCTAAGGTTGGATGGCTTTGTGGGCTCCTCCTCCTGGTTACAAAGCCCAGGACCACCAATTGGGACTGTGTGGCCATTCTTCAGTGCGGGTGGGTTCAGCTTGTCTGGTTCTTCCCCATCTGCAAGGGGATGGGAGGGAAGAGAAGCAAACAGAAAGCACTCAGAAAGCAGGAGATGGAGGAGAGAACAGCCGAGCTGACTGAACCACCATCAATCCAGGCCTTCAGTCTCCCTTCTGCAGAGGAGCAACAGCAACATGAGCCAGCTGAAGCTGAGAGCCCTTGATTTCATTCCACAAGCCAAACAGTACAATATCGCATCCCATCAAGTGTTCTTCTTCCTCAGCAGCCTCTTAATCTACCACCTTGCTACTGCATTTAAGACTAGGATGCCTTTTCCATCTCCCCACCACTACAGAGCAGTCACAAATCCCCTGCTGCAATACAAATCCCAGCACTAGGCAAGTAATCTACTGGATGTGCAGGAACAGATTTTGAGGAAGCCTTAAAATTAGTTGAAACATCTCTATTTCCCTTCCTCTCAGTTTTTCTTCTGGTGGTTTGCACTGAAAACCACTTTTTCCACCTCCACTTTCCCACTTTGCATCATTCTTAGAAGAATGCTGAAATTCGTATTAGGTCAAAACTGCCTCTGCGGTGTGCCTTTTGAGGGGCAATTCCACACTGCTCTAAGCCAAAGGCCATGCTGCCACCCAGAGAAGTGGGCTGCCATCCCCCCACAGCTTCCTGCCTTCTGCCTTGTACCCACATCACCCAGCACACAGCCAGGCCTGGCCGAGATGTTATTTTGGCAGCGTGACCCCAACTCGGAGACATCAGAGATGACAGAAAAGGGGATGAGACTTCTCTGAGCAGGGCAAGCTGAGCTGGGACTGACAACAGACCACAGAATATGCTGTTGGCTGGGTTGGAAGGGACCCTAAAGCTCCTCCAGCCCCAACCCCTGCCCCAGGCAGGGACCCCTTCCACTGGAGCAGCTTGCTCCAAGCCCCTGTGTCCAACCTGGCCTTGAACACTGCCAGGGATGGGGCAGCCACAGCTTCTCTGGGCACCCTGTGCCAGCGCCTCAGCACCCTCACAGGGAAGAGCTTCTGCCTAAGAGCTCATCTCAGTCTCCCTGTCAGGTTAAAGCCATTCCCCTTGGCCTGTCCCTGTATGTCCTTGTATACCACAGAGCATCTTGTCTATAACTGCTTGAGGAAAGGCCCCTTCCCAGGCAGCTCCGAAGTCATCAACTGGTTTCTTCTTCCGAGCCTAAGGCCACTAGACCTGAGCTGTGAGGTCAGCACCTCTCCCACAGCAGTTAGAGTGTGAGCAGAATAAGCTGGAGATGCTGAGTGCAAGTGTGACAGAGGAGCTTAGCAGGACAAGAGAAGGCAGCTGGAGCAGGACAAGTACAAGAGGGACAGGAGGGGAAGTGACACACAGAACACCCTCCCTGCTGGCAGCAGACAGGATGTTATCCAGCACAGGCATCACATTTTCTTCCCCTAACTGACCAGGGGCTGCCTTCCTTGCCAGGTACAGAAGTCAGACAAGGACAAGACAGAGAGGAACCACATTAGCGAAGAGCCCTGAAATACATCTCCCCAAAAGAGCGATTGCAACGGTGAGGCTTTGCCAAAGGAGGATCAGTGACACAGAACACAGACAGGAGGAGGAGAAGTTCATTTGCAGACTCACCCTGCTCAGGGTCTTCCAACAGAACCCCTCTTTTTACCAGCTCCTCTCTTGGCTTTCGCATAGAGATCTTTCGTTCTAAAACTGACAGTAAATTGAAAACAGGGTAAGCTGGAAGGTCAGGGGGAGCCTTTCCTAAAGGGATCCTCTGGAGGGAAGAAAAGGGCTCCAAATTGCCCTTTCCTTTCTGCATGGATTAAGAGGAGGGAGGAGGGACTGCACGTCCAGGCCTGCACTTCACACTCGATTGTGATGCCGGAGCAAAGCCTCCCTCCCCACAGCTGCCTGGGGAGGTTCCTTGCAAGGAAGGCATTTATTTGTCTGAAACTACCGCTCCATGGCAAGGTGTTTCTGCAGAGACTGCAGGTGCCAGCCCAGCACTCAAGCCACACTGCGGCTCCTCCGCGTGTCAGGCACTCAGGCTTGTGCCAGCAAGCCCTTCTCACCAGCCAGATGGCTGATGGCGGCTTTGCCAAGCAGAGGAAGGGGCTCCCACCCAGCCCCAATGACTCTACCTTCCGAGGTCTCCTTAAATTTGTCACTGCTTTTCTTTTTCCTCCACTTCCAGGGCTTAAAGATCTTGCCAAAGCTTGAGAACTTGCTTTTCCTCTTCGTAGGAGGTGTGGTGTCACCCGATTCCAAAACATCTACCCCCATGCCGGCATCGGTTGGGGTGTGATCCACCTCTTCAGCTGCACGGGAAAGAGGAAAGAGGTTTACCTTTGTGCTGCAGACAGGAGCTGCTATCTCCCACCAGCACACTGGGAAACGGGGGCACACGCTCATGCAAAGAAGGGAGCAGGACTCCATGCCTTCACGTAACCCATCAGCATTACA